TAGCGCAAAAAGGATTTATATAGAAGAACTGAAAATGATCGGTCGCCATAGGTATAATAGTGTGCGCGCGTGATAAATTCGCGGTTGGTTGGCGCATGAAATGTGACTATCGACACTCCGATTGATTAATTCGATTAATTTTAATTGGACGCCTATGTATACCTTGAAAGGCCGGCTAGCGTCAATTTGGTAACTCGATAAATCTATAAAATAGCGCGGTGAAAGTGTGGCTACATTTTATTAAATTCCGCTACTCTCGCAAAAAGGCGCCTGTGGCGCGCGTCGCACCAAATTCAGTAATGGATCATTATTGAGCCTCGCAGGGAAGGTGCGAAAATTCACCAATAATTAGATAATTACTTTTGCGACGGACCAACAATACTTATTTCGTTACGGTTCCCGGCCAACGAAAGAACACGTCCCTGCTGACATCGAGTTGGATGAGACGTATTTTTCTTTTCTCGATAAACTTCATGTACGAATATACGATACAATCCGTTATGGAGACGTATCGTGATAGACGGGATTTAATACTCTTTTGCAATTCAAACCCACTTTGAAAAGACGAGAGGCGTAAATAGCGTTTTAATTCGCCGTGCTAAAAACACAAACGCGCAAACACAAAAATTAAGTTACATGGAATCGTTCCTATTTTTATGGTTGTATATCGTAAAATATCGTTATAAGTTTATCAACTGTTGGACAAATTCAAAAATTCTTGGAAAAAACATATATTTTGGTACTATGAAATCTCTGTTGATTTATTTTCATATCTCAAACATTCATGTATGATATCGTTATGTTATTCTATATTCGCTGAGTAATAAAGATAGGATGATGTTTGTGTCAATTTATACCACTAAATGAAAAGTGTTCATTATGACCATGCGATTTATATCGCATCAATCGCAGGATTTTCATTCTACTCGTTCATTTGAGCGACAAGTTAAAATAACTTATATCCCCAACAGACATACGCAATGAGTGTTTATTATAGATATCAGATATAACGACTAGACCTTTTTGTTTCCGCGAGGATGCCAAAAATTATATATTGCACATGGGAAGGAAAAGCATGCGTTGCGTTAAGATTACGTATATCTAGGTTGAATGTATATATATACAACCTATAGCATAGGCCTACATGACATTCAATTAATTACACATAACTTTCGTGTATTCCCCTTACAGAAATTTAATACTACGAATTACTAATGAATTTACAATTTAATGATTAAATACTTGCAGTATTTCAGTAATTATTTGGCCATTACTTCATTATTAGTTAATATATTTCAAATTATATACATAAAAAGATTGTATGTATTTTTTATTAATATTAATAATATAAAAGGAAAAAATAATAAAAGTAATAAAAAAAAGAAGGAAAACATAAACAGACATAGGTTAATCTTGAACTTGAGCTACCTCTAATTAACAGCCAGGCATCCTAGACCTTCTGCTACCGGAACACTTGTTTGATGATACTTACTATCTACTACACTTCAACTATTTTCTCAATATTTAATCACTGCAAATTCAGTAATTCTCAATATTAAATTTCTGTAAGGGTATATTTCATCACTATTGCGCTGTTACTTAAATAAGCATTATTCATATTAATGATAAGGCAGTATTTAATCACTGCAACTTTAAGCACTGAAATATTTGGAATCACTGCCAACTCTATAATTTAATCATTAAAAACAACAGTATTTTAAATATTCAAAATAAGTAATTAATTACCAGCTTAGCAGTAATAAATTTCTGTAAGGGTCCTTACACGAATTCTATACATACGAGGGTATTTCATATATAATATATATAGTATTATATATTTCATATATAATATAAACAAATAATGAGAATTTAGTTTCTTTTCTTGTGATGATAAATCTGTGTTGCTGTGCATACTGTGATAAGTGTAGACATGTTTAAGCTTGCGTCTATACCGATTGGAGCCTTCTTAACTTCATCAGTCAGGTGCCATCATCGATGTCTGAACAAGAAATTATATGTCTGTGCAGAACAGCATAACAAATTATTATCAAATCTCTCACAAATAAAAGAGTTAAGCCTTCTGAAATTTTGATTAGACTTAAAGCACATTTTTAGAATGAATCATGGATGATTGGATAAAATAATTCCGAGAAGAAAAAGACCGTGTGTGGAAAATGAACGTTACGCTTGGCAGCCATGAACTTCTGCAAACCCTAATTAGATATCGCAAACTGTTAAGATAATTCGAAGGATTCAAGAAGTTTCCAGAACGGTGGCATAAATATATCTCAATCTATGGCCACTATACTGATAAATAGTAGAGGAAAGGCATCGAAACTGACATAAATATGGCAAACCGACATATTCATGTTTCTCATCTATAAAGTATTAAATTCTATCGAATAGAACATGAATTTCGCCTACTGTGTACAGTAATTGGAAATAAACTGACAATTTGCAAGCGTGTTTGGTTGTGTTATTTGCGTAATCTGATTTTTCATTGTGTTGAAGTTTTGGTTGAACTATATTTTTGTGAAAATTAAAATAATGGACCAGCGGTAATTTATTCAACAATAATACGATTTCATAGTGTGAGTTTTGAACTTTTTAACTTTGGATCTTATACCAATCTTTATTCTTTGTCACTGAGCCACGTAAGAAAAGTTAAAATTAGATTGTTCTGTAAACCGACATATCTGAGATTTGCTGTGAAATATTTCACAGAATATAGTTGAAGTTACCGGTAAATGGTTTTCCTATATTTTTCTTGTTTGTTCGTTTAAGATGGTTGGAAAGAAGAAATTATTCCTTTTCACATAATAATATACATAATAATATATAATATACACAACAAAAGAACAACATATATATATAGTAAAATTTTTCAAGTTTTCAAAAATATATAAAATTAAAGAGATGTATGGATATATTATAAATGTACAAAATAATATAATATAATAAAGTTACAAAATAAAATAATAAATAATTTAATTTCGGTTTTTTAATTTTATTCGTTTGTAATTTCTTATAAGTATTATAGATATATCTGTTTATGGTTTAATTTCTAGAAACGTCAATCCTCAGATAACTTAACACATTCGCAACTGGTAACGTAATCCTATGTCATTTCAAATTTTTTAGAATATCAGTAAGGTAATCCTATGTCATTTCAAATTTTTTAGAATATCAGTAACGTAGTCTTACGTCATTTCAAAATGTTTAGCTGAGACTTTTGAAAATTGTATGCGGTGCTCAGCTAAGAGTTTCGCCTCAAAACCGCTGGCGAATATGTTAAAAAATAATTAATCGCAAGATTGCAAATTTGTAATAATTTTCATAAAATATAATATATTTTCATTGAAAAGTATTGCTGGTTTGCATACATAAATTTTAATTTTACATCTTTAAAAAGGTTATAGAGCTCTTATGTAATGGTATATCGATCTTAATGCCTTTCCTCTATGTGTAACATCGCAATTGTGCTGTAAATAAAATTTATAAAAACAAGTTCTCGCTTATACTTGAAATTCTTCGTATTTTGCGGAGCCATGTATTTCGTGCAAGTCAGCAATCTGGTTGTTATATAGATGTCTGCGAGGTTGACTATTTTCTAAAGCTATCGAGAAGTCTTCTACTGCTGTTGCTCGGTACCAATTACTTTCTCGTTCCGTGTACTTTTCGATCGACCGTCGTGAGACCAGCTTAACGCTTAGCCGGCAACTGTATCTCTAGCCGCGAATTCCCGCTAAGCGGCTTTGCTACTAAAATCGGGAATAGAGCGGTAAATTAACAGCTAAATGGCACTTAATTCCGCGATAGCTTCCGATTCAATTCGCCACGGCGGGGATGGCGTTGGCTTAACCAGGAGAAGGTTATCTTGCGGCAGGTATCGGCAGGGACCAATAACAACCAGCTGTCGAAGCGCGTTACTTAGATGTCATTTGCGATCGATATCGGATTAATGGATACGCGACGAATCTGAGCGCTCGTAAACATAAAGAATTTCTTTTACCGAATTATCTTGAGGCTGCCAGATCGTAGCCACACTGAAATACTACGTTTCAGAAGCGAGAAATGATGTAAATTTTTCTTTCTCGCTATATACGTCGAGATTACTCTCTTCGTACATCGTCATTCGCATTGGTCAGCAAAAATATATATCGAAATGTCCCTTCTTCCTTGCTCCACATTAACTAAACGAACGCATAATTCAATCCACTCCAACATTTTATGAAGATAAATCTCATGACAGTCGATTGTGATTTGCAGTTATTTATTAATCCGTCAGCCGAAATGCGAATTTTCGATAAATTGTATTAATTTATACTATCGAGCGTGAACGATGGCACAAAGGAAAACTAATTAAACAAAAAACATAAGCCAATAAGAGCAAGCATTAATTGGTAGACAGAATGTAAATTCAGTGTTTGCGATATTATTGCGTACTTAGGGTTCTTCATGCAAGCGGAAACATTTTTATTTGTAAATTTATCACATTGAAAATGGTCCAAAACGTGACCGAAACGTCTGTTTATTTAATAGATTTTATTAACTATTTGGTTTGTTAATTATTATTTGCGTAAACCCAATCAGCGCTTGCTCTTATTGGTCTATGGTTTTTGTTTAATTGATTTTTAATTCAAGAGCGTTAAATTATTTATTTTGAAAATTAATTTATACGGGCATACGGTGCAAGAATATAATACATACGATTTTCCGCCTTTCTGACATTTATAATTCAATATAGCCGCAGTAAAGAAACGGAAACGCCAGATCCATAGAATTAGATCCATTAAAAAAATTAAAAAATGAGTATGGATCGCTCATTTTTTATTTTTTTAATGAACAAAGCTTTTCATCACATTTCTAATTGAGAAGTTAAAAGATGAATAACGAAAACAACCACCAGGCGGGAACGCGAATATAAGCCATCCGCCGCATTTTAGTTAAAGGATGCATTGTTCGTTACATGCGAATATTCACGTTTAAATATTACTCACGATGTTTGAGGTGCAGTCTAGGAATGGGGTCCTGCGGCCAAGCCACATTTCGCGCGACTAAGCTGATCAGAGCCAAAATCCGCAGCGGCGCGCTCATCCTGGAAACGAATAGCCCTGCAGGATGTCCAATGAATCAACGGTAACTTTGAAGCCTCATCATCGCCTCGCCGATCGTTACTCCTGCAATCATACAACGGTGTTGTGAATCTGTAATTCCATAGTATGTACAATCGAAATTACGAACGCGCGCTGTATTAATTAGCTGACGGAAAATCGCGCGGTCGAAGCAATAATAAAACTCTCTGAATTATTTTATCTCGATACCGCATACGCATTATTTTACGTGAAATGCTGTCGCGCATATCGATTTAAATATCGGAATCGTAATGCGAAAAGGAGTCAAACCACAATTGTATTCCTATTTTTTTATGTGATTGCTGAAATCATTGAATAGTTAATAAATGAGTAGCTAGAAATTAAACATTGTAAAATGCCTAAGGAAGGAGAGAGAAAAAGTACAATACAGTAGAATAGAATAGAGTAGAATAGAGAGAGAGAGAGAGAGAGAGAGGGAGAGGGGTTGTTTAATAACAAAAATATTTTGTTCGGAATAAAATTTTTAAAAGTATGAAAGATCGACAATATTTCTTAATCGTGAATCTTGGCGATTTCGTACTTTGAGATAGAAGTTTTGAGATGGTGATTTTATACCAATATTAATACTATTCCAGGGTCTCTTTAACTGCTTATAAGTAAAATGAGGATTGAAGTAGAGCTCCCTTCCGATAATGGCTCTGATATTCCAGAATCACTAGTTTTTATATAAATTCGCCACTGCTGCAATGGCTTGGCTTGCAGGACACGTAGAGTAGAAATAAAGACAGTTCCATTATATAATATAAACCCAAGGGATCGATTGAACCCACCTGGAACCATCAGTTCGGCAGTTACGACAGAACGATAAATCTCGCTTTCGTTCTACTAGTTGCTTCGTGTAAGTACACACGACTGGCTTCGTGGCCTGTACGATTCGCGCATGCACTTGACGCGAGACACTACTATGTCTCTTGATTACACATGTCACGACGAAGAAGAGCCGACGACGCCGAAAGAGGAACCGAAAACAGCGGAGGGAGCAAGCAAACTTTGTTCCCCTTTCTGTCTTTTTTTATGCAGGACTTCTATATGCATATCTCCTTGTCAGGGAAAACTACTACTCGGAATAAGTAAGGGAAAGCACGAAGAAGGATAAAAGGCTAACGAAGGAACGAAAGGGTGGGCGGGGAAGAAAAGGGAGTGGCAGAAGAGCGGGGGCGAAAGCGACCACCGGTTCCGACGACTACAACGACGATGACGATGAAGACGACGACGATGTTATGCATTATGCAGAGAGGTTGCTAGCTCGAGTTTCTATTTGTCCTGGGGCCGTGTAACGTCGTCTACCGTCGCGAATACGTCCAAGATTAAACGTAGTATCGAACATGTATATTCACACGCATACAGGGCGCTCGTGAAACACGCAATCGTATCTTCGTGATACACGAGGGTGGTTAAGTAGACGAAGAAAAAGTAAAAACAACGTCCGCGAATGCGTGTCTGAAATGCTTCGCGTTATCTCATTAGATCGTTGAGATTTTTTCTGAACAAAATTGGGTCTAACGTGTAAAAAGTTAAACAATGTTAATGGTTCGTTGATTGAAATGTTACGTTCGCGTAACGTGTTACACAATATCTTCTGGTTAGGGATACCCCGAGGTATCAGATCATTGCTTCAGATGAAGCAATCGGCAGCGATAACGCTGGAAAACCAACAGTTCTAATGCATCGTAAGAAAAACCCAATTGACTCATTTTTTATGGCGTAAGATGCACCTTGCCCCTGATTGGGTAATGAGGAACCTGCGCGGGGGTGTCTCATTACCTACCTATAAAAGGTGACGCGAAAAGCAAAGAAAAAGCTTTGTTCCCTCGCGACTTTCTCTCGGCTTCTACGTCAAGTACGACTTAACTCAGAACAACTCCTCAAGCGTAAATAAATTTAATTCTTGCAACTTAATCTTTTATCTATTAACTTCCTTCAATCTTACACACACACACACACACGCACATACCCGCTCATCCATATCCACAACAGCATTCACACAGCCTCGTCCATCCCAGGGTAAATTGGTTAAATCCATTGACCCAAAAAGGACATTTACACTCCACCCGAAGTCTTGCGTTCGCGGCGCGACTCCGTATCTTTCAATAATCCAACATCCGCGTCCGGGACGTAACAGAAATCAGGGAAGAAAGATTGAGACTATACGTGTCTAAACGCGGGTATGCAAGCGAAATAACAATTTATGCAGTAATTATGAACAAATAAGCATAACAAGACCTTTTGATCACAATTTTGTTATCAATATAACGATATTGTCACGTAAATTGTCACTGCACATATATATAGATTCATATAGTCAAACTTTTCATATATATAAATTGTTTAATAGTTGTATAGTTGTATAGATTTGTAAAATCTAAGTTTAAATTTTTAGATTTAGCTTCTTTTACAACCAATATAGCCAATGAAAGAGCAAAAATGATAAATCTTAATCTTTTATTACCACACACTGAAAGAAAAAATTTGGTAACAATTATCAAACATTTAGTAAAGTAGTTTTAACTAAATGATTAGGTTACTGTAAAATCATTTAGTTCAGAGCTCGACAAGCGATGCAATTTCTAGCTGATGCATGGGATGCTCCGCCTCATGTTGTTCTCTTCACTTCATTGTCCCGCGCGCAGCATACGAACCCTGCTCGAATTTCAGGAATATGGTTACTGCATATCATCCTATGGAACTCATAGAAGGAAGAAAATTCAGAAGACATGTGGATTTTTTAAAGATGCTATATCCCTTATTAATTTTTTATTTTAATCGTGAATATTTGTTTTCAACAATTTTCCACGTTACCCATGAAATACTATTGCTGATGCATTTTTATGCGATATTCCTAGAAAAATTATATTAATAATGTATATAAAAAAACTAACTGACTGGACAAAAGCAGAATGAGCAGAATCATACATAATATGTCTCAGTGAAAAGGTGACTAGTGTAAAATGGAACACAAGGCGTTATTTATGTTTTGTTTTTATTAGTGATTATTTGAAATAGACTCCTTGTGAGTCAATGCATCGCTGGAAACGATCGCAAAAGTTTTTGAAACAGTCTTTAGTCCTCCGCCGGAATCGTCTTTAAAAAGTCTATTGAAAATTTTCAGATGTCCTGAATCGAATCATAACATGATCCTTTCATGACTAACTTTAGTTTTGGGAATAGCCAGAAGGGAGCTAAGTCAGACAAGTACGGTAGGTGCTCAAGCACCACAATACTCTTTTTGGCCAAAAAATCGTGTACAACTTTGGCTTTGTGAATAGGGTGAATAGGATGGGTAGGGTAAGACATTTCATCCAAGTATCTCCAAGATTTTCTTCAGTGGTGTTGCAACATGTGGTCTAGCATTGTCATGGAGAAGAATAATTTTGCCATGTCTTTTGGTGTATTGCGGGCGTTTTTCTTTAAGTGCTGGATGCAAATTGATTAATTGTCGCCGGTAACTTTCAGCATTGATGGTTTGACTCGATTACAGCAGCTCATAGTACACTATACCGACTTGATCCCATCAAATGCACAGCATGACCGACCTTCTTTCCAAGAATATCCTGTTTTGGCGTTGATGTTGATGGTTCGCCGGGAAGTACCCATGATTTCTTGCGCTTAGGATTGTAACGAATCCATTTTTCATCGCCAGTCACAATTCGATACAAAAATGACCGTTTTTGTCTTTGAAGCAGCAATTCACAAATGGTTAAACGTTTCGCAATGTCTCTTTCTCTCAATTCATGTGGGACCCAGTTTCCTAGCTTCTGGATTATTCCCATTACTGTTAAATGTCTGCTAACGGTTAACTCATCGACATTTAGTGTCCGACAACTCTTTGAGCGTCTGACATGAATCTTCTTCCAGTAATACCTCCAATTCTCCATCTTCAAACTTTTTTGGCTGACCAAGGCGCTCTTTGTCATTCACGTCAAAATCGTTGTCTTTGAATCCATCTAAATCAATCTCTGCAAGTTGTTTCAAATAGAGCGTGCTCCCCATAAGCCTCCTCTAGTAAACGACGACTTTCAGCAACAGATTTCTTGAGATGAAAGCAGAAAAGTAATGCATTATCAAAGTAACATTAAATTATATAATTGGAAATTGACCTATGCTGCTCTTAGATCTTATTGCGTTGTAAAATCAAAAGTTTAACATAAGTCTAAAATTTAGACTAAAGTGAAATACACATTTGGATCCTTGATAGACACAGCAAAATATACCAAAGTGTCGTTAAGTGTCGATGTTTAGCCCCTTAATACGGAGACAATGATTTTTCCTGATCGTGAGCTCAACCTGTGTGTATCGGGACGTCCTCATAAATCTCCGGAGAGCGAAATTATCATTCCGCATTGTACGCGCGGCGCTTGATTTTCTTCAAACTCCGTAAGTTTGCGAAAGCGAACGCACCAAGTAACATCCAGCTGTTGGTTAAAACCCAATTTGCTCGGGCGGGTTTGCGAGAACGTCACAATAATCGGCCGTCGCCCGCTCCTGCAACGTTATTCAGCGATGACAATAATTGCGTATAATACTACCAAAGTATTAATTAATTCGCGGCCAATCGCTTTCCGATACAACAATGTGTCCTATTGTTTCCTGACATCTGCGCCGGACGATCGTGGCGCGGCAGCTGCAAGCCGTCTAATAAAATTACTCACTGACAGACCTGTGAGTTGCACGGTCACGTGACATCGGGAAATCGATAGAGAAAGAGTGCATTGTCGAGTCGGACGCGTAAGACTCGCTATTCGCGGGGCGCTTCAGTATGCGTTAGGATTCAAAGGAGCAGTCGACGAGCGGAACAGCGATCAATAATAGATTCACGAAATTTCAGTAGATAGGGCAACGGCGCGAAGATGAATTAATCATAGAATAGCTGCGGTAGTCGCAATCAGCGGAGGAAAGTCAGGGGGTACAGACGTGGATGGAGTAACGACTATTACTACGAAATAAATGAGAGGGAGCTTCGATCGAAAGTGAAGATCACTAGATAACAGGCTGAGATCGATAATATCGGATCCAGGGAGAATCCA